ACTAACCAGAAGCTGGACTAGCTGGTTCATTTATTCAAAATTTATTTATTAACTTTCTGTTCTGTGCCAGACACTGTTATAGGTATTAAGGATACAGCAGTTAAATGGGCAAAAATTCCTGCTCTTGTGAAGCTTATATCCTAGTAGAGAAAACATGGTCAACAAATAAGTAAAATGTATATTTAATAGTGGTAGGTGCTGTGAGGAAAAAAAAAAAACAGGGAAAGGAGGAAACTCAGAGGGGATGATAAAGGCAATTTTAACAGTTTCAGACAAAGGTGACGCCAAGTCATGGGAGAAGAGCCATATAGCTGTCTGGACAAGTGGAACAGCTTGCACAGGTGAGTCAGGACCATCAGTGTGGCTAGAGCAGTTACCAGAGAGAAGAGAAGGAAATGATGGGGAAAGACAGGTAGGGGGCTTTCTAGCCCTTGTAGAGTTCTGAACAGAGGAGAGACATAACATAGGTTACCTTTCAATAGGATCCTTTGGGTTCTTTGAAGAAAGTGCTGGGCACAGGGTGTGGGAGGGGTAAGAGTGAAAGCAAGAAGCTACTAAGAAGCTATTGCAACAATCCAGGAAAAAGATGATGACAGTTTAGATTGGGATGGTAAATGTAGGTGGTAAGAAGCAGTTACATACTGGATGTATTCCAAAGGTACGGCCAACATGAGATCTGCTGATGGGCTGGGCATAAGCAGAGCATGAGAGGAAGTAGTCAAGGATGATCCCAAGGTTTCTCACCTGAGCAAGTAAAAGGATAAGGTTACCATTAACTAAGATAACAAAGACAAGGGTAGCAGAACAGATATGGTGTAGGGGGAAGATCAAGAGCTTGGTTTTAGACACATATAATGCTGAAACTCAAGGCAGAGGTCTATATTAGAGATATGAATGTGAGGGTCAACAGCATTTAGATGGTATCTGGTAAGACATGAGGTTGGATAAGGTCAACAAGGAAGTGAATACATAGAGAAAAAGGAAGTCCTAGACCCAACATTAAGATGTTGGAAGATGAAAAAGGAGCCACAGTGGGATAGTAGGAGAACCAGAGGACTGTAGGGCCTTATGAATATGTCCCAGAAGGGAGTTTTGTTTGTGCTGAAGGTCATTGGGATGGCCAAGCAGGAGGATAGTGAACTGAACAACAAGACCAACAGGACTGTAGACTTGGCAACATGAGGGTCACTGGTGAGAGTGGTTTCAAGGAAGGAGTAGAGAGGTAAGGGCCTGATTTAAGTGAATTGAAAGGAGAATGTGAAGATTCAGCTGATTCCTCTGCATTCCAGTCTATTCTCTTCTTAACCATGCACTCAAACTCCAGAGGCTCCCTTGATTCTTAATTCTCAGAAAGTACTTCCTCATTTCCAACTAAACTCCACTTCCTTGTATTTTGTCCTTTATGAGCTAGAGAAAAAAATCTGTATGTAACAGGTACAGAAATCTGTAACACTTCATATACTTAAAAATAGTAGTCAATAAGAAATGATTCCATGTATAACAGCATAGAAAAGGATACTTAGGAATAAATTTAACAAAGCAAGTGTAAGACCTGTACCCTGAAAAAACAAAACATCATTGAAAGAAATTAAAGAAGACCTAATAAAAGGAAAGACATCCCATGTTCAAGGACTGGAGGACCTAGTACTGTTAAGTTAGTAACACTCCACAAATGTACAGATTCAATGCAATCCCTATCAAAATCCCAACTGCCTTTTAAAAAAGAAATTGGCAAGCTCTTCCTAATGCATATGGACACACAATGGACCCAAACTGCCAAAACAATCTGGAGAAAGAATAAGTGGGAGAACTCACACTTCCCATTTTCAAAGCTATGGTTTGCAAGATTGTGTTACTGGCATAAATACAGGCATATATATGAACAGAATAGAAGTTAGTGTCCAAAGATAAACCCTTATATTTACATATTTATAATCACCTGATTTTCAACAAAGGTGTCGGGACAGTATAATAGAGAAAATGAAATTCTTTTCAACCACTGGTGCTGGGACAACTGGATACCCACATGCAAAAGAATGAATTTGGAAACCCCTATCTCACACTCTACATAGAAAGTAACTCCAAAAAGACCACTCACTGCATTGTAAGAGCTTAAACTATAAACCTCTCAGAAGAAAACCAAGAGTGAGTCTTCATGACCTCAGAGTAGTCAATGGTTTCTCAGATACGACACCAAGAGTAACGGAAGAGCAAATAAACTGGATCTCATAAAACTTATAAAAATTTGTGTTTCAAGAGACAGCATCAATAAAATAAAAGAACATCTACAGAATGGGAGAAAATATCTACATATAATATATCTGATAAAAGACTTCTATCCAGAACATAGAAATAACTTTTACAGCTCACTAATAAAAAGACAAATAGCCCAATTGAAAAACTGACAAAAGATCTTAGTATTTCTCCAAAGAAGATACACAAATGGCCATAAACACATGAAAGAAAGCTCAACATTAATCATCTAGGAAATGCAAATCAAAATCACTATGGAAGATCATTTCACTGCCACCAGAATGGTTATAATATAAAAGACAAACAATAACAAGTGTTGGTGAGCAGGTGAAAAAAATCGAACCCTCATGCAATATTTGGTGGGATCTAAAATGGCAGACCTGCTGTAGAAGACAGTTTAGCACTTCCTCAAACAGTTAAACACAGAACTGCCACATGACTTAGCAATACCACTCCTAGGTTTATATTCAAGAGAAATGAAAACATATATCCATACACAAATGCTCACAGCAACATTATTCATAATAGCCAAAAAATGGGACAGCCCAAATGTCTGTCAACTGATAAATGAATAAATAAAATGTGGCATCTCCATAGGATAAAATATTATCAGTCAACAGAAAGGAACAAAGTACTAATACATGCTGCAAGAGGACTGAACCCTGAAAAACATATGCTAAATGAAAGAAGCCAATCACAAAAGACTGTATCTTATATTATTCCATTGAAATGAAATACCCAGAACAAGCAAATCTATAGAGACAGAAAACAGGTTAGTGGTTCTCTAGGGCTGGGGTGGGGATTAGGATGGGGAACAGGGAGTGATTGCCAGGTGGTCCAGGGTTTCTTTCCAAGGTGAAAGAAGTTTTAAAATTAAACTGTGGTGATTGCTGCACAACTCTGTTAACATATTAAAAACCACTGAGGGGTACCTGGGTGGCTCAGTCCACTGAGTGTCCGACTTCAGCTCAGGTCATGATCTCGCGGTTCAGGAGTTTGATCCCTGCATCAGGCTCTCTGCTGTCAGCACAAGGCCTGCTTCAGATCTTCTGTCCACCACCACCCCCCATCCCACTTGTGCGCGCGCTCTCTCTCTCAAAAATAAATAAATCTTTAAAAAAAACCACTGAAATGTATCCGTATATGGATAAATGTGAATAATCATCTCAATAGAGAGGTTATATTTTAAAAAGCAATCAAATATTTAACCTATTCTGTGAAACAATACCAATTTTTTAAAACTGTGAATAATTTTTATTGTTATTTTTCTATGATGCATTTTTCTGTTTCCTCATATCCTTTGAGAGATGATAAATGGAGGTGCATGAATAGCTCAGTTGGTTAAGTGTCTGCCTTGATTTTGGCTCAGGTCATGATCTCATGATTTGTGAGTTTGAGCTCTGCAGTGGCTCTTTGCTGGTGGTGTGGAGCCTTCTCGAGATTCTCTCTCTCAAAAATAAATACATAAACATTTTTAAAAAAGAGATAATAAATGAATTAAAGTGCTCATTTCATCTAGAAGGTGTCAGCAAACTACAACCTGTAGGCCAGAAATAAGAATTTTTTTTTAATTTACTTTTTAAAAAATTTTTTAATGTTTTATTTATTTCTGAGAGAGAGACAGCGTGAGCAGGGGAGGGTCAGAGAGAGAGGGAGACACAGAATCTGAAGCAGGCTCCAGGCTCGGAGCTGTCAGCACAGAGCCCGACACGGGGCTCAAACCCACGAACAGTGAGATCATGACTTGAGCTGAAGTCGGACGCTTAACCAACTGAGCCACCCAGGCGCCCCTAATTTACTTTTTAAAAGGGTTTAATGGAGAAGGAGGAGGAGGCATAGGAGCAGGAAGAGGAGATGGAAAAGGAGGAAGAGAAACAACAGAGACCATATATGGTCCACAAAACCTAAAACAAGTACTACTTGGTCTTCACAAAATTTGCTGACCCATGATCTCAGAAAAACAAAAGTAAGTTTTGTATAATATACTCATTATAAAATATACTATAGACAAGTTCGTTCTGATCCATATTTATAGTGTGGATTAACTATGATAAGTGGGTGCAGGAGGAATGAGGAGACTGGTTAAATAGACGTCCTTTACCAGTATGATCCATTTTTAATTTTTATATTCCAGGGTATTAATCACCACAGGTAATTTGGCAAAACTGGCAACTATATACACAATAGCCTAGTCCAGAAGACAAGAGGCTACCATGCAAAACCCTTCAGATTTTGGGCAAATCACTTCTTGGGAATAAAGCCAAAGACAGAATTTTGGGCCTCTCTCTCTTTTTTTTAATAGCCTTTATTACCAATAACCTTCAAGTCTTTAGCTCTATTATTACGTTACAGGGCCCATCATTTAATGAGGCGGTATGGTAGGAGAGTTAGATGGGATTCAGATTCTACTTACTGCCTACACTGCATGTGGGACTTAACTTCCGCCTCTGAGGATCAGATTAAGTAATGATTATATGTAAGCACACAGCCCAGCGCCTGGTACAGGAGGCCTCAAGCTACACTTGGTTTCAAATCAACAAACCCTCCTGAATGTCTACTTTGTGCCTGGCTCTGACTCGGCTAGGTCTAGAGCTACACCCTCCAGGAGGAGTTCACAATCCAGTGAGAGAAAGAAATATTCCTCTGTACTTCAAGGTTCAACAGCAGTCACAGGAATGCACTTAAGATACGAAAGTCAGGCAGGGAAAGTGTGACTGACTCTCATGGGAGAAGTCTAAGAGGGCTTCCCAGAGTAGGTGACAGCAGAGTTAGGGGTGGCCTTCACAAGAGAAGAACCTAAGAGAATTAGAACAGCTGGGGGAAAGGCTATAGAGAAGGACGGGATGTTGAAGGAATTTTGCCCCACACTGAATAATAACCATCTACTACTGAAAACAGAGACAGTGAACCACAATACTGAGATGCGGGTCTCTGAAGACTGCAGGGCAGTCCTTCTTAATGTTCCTTGACTATAAGGTTATTATTTGGTTTGACTGCTCTTGCTTTCACAATTATAACCCGGTTCAGTCTATGCTAATCAGCAGTGTAACTGTGCATTACAGACCTCCAAAGCAAAACACCAGAGAAGCCTACAGCTGCCTCATCCCTAATCCACGCCCTTGGGCTTACTCTTTCCATAGATTCCAAGGACCGCAGAACCCTCTGGTGCACTCTGATCCTCCGCAGTGAGTAAGTATCACTCTGAATAACATTACGAACTCGGTAACATGTTTGCTTAGTGGTCAATCATGAGTCAGGTATTTTTACACCATATACATCTTTAGTACCAGCCTGTAATTCTGTATTTCATTTGCTTTTTCTTAGTAAGAGGAAAATTTTTAAACTACAAAAATTTTAAATAATAGAGGAAAATAAGCTGCTAATTTCTGCATTAACCTAGTTCATGTCAATTCCAAACACTGCTTTATTTCCCAAAGAAGATAAATAGGGGGAAAAAAAATCCAGATAGCAGATGAAATTACTGACAGTGTCACATTCATTTGGTTCTTTAATTGGAATCATAAAGATCTCTGGAGTTTTCTCTTGTAAGAAAATTGGAGGGGTGCCTGGATGGCTCAGTCGATTAAGCGTCTGACTCTTCGGCTCAGGTCATGATCTCACGGTTGGCGGGATACAGCCCCATGTTGCACAGCCTGCTTGGGATTCTCTCTCCTCTCTGTGCCCCTGCCACTCCCCACCCAGATAAATAAATAAATATTTTTAAAAAATTGGAAAATGGAAACAAAGATAAATAAGGAAATATAATGTTTAAAACCTTTCCACTGAAAAAACCCAACAATGTATTTTTTCTGCTTCCTGGTTATTTAAAACTTACAGATTACACAGCCTGAGAAAATATAAGCTAATAGTGTCATTAGTTTGTTTTTTATTCTAACTGTAGTACTCAGGGAGGCAGAAATCTTTACTGGACTAAAGATAAAATGAAATCAGTTAATTATATGGGAAACAATCAAGGGTCAAGTTTACTATTTTTTAAAAGAAACTTTCTCTCCAGTCATAACACTGACTTAGGTTTATGGGAATAGAGTCCTAGTCCTACGTACAAACACCTTTAAGAAAGGATCAGGAGCACAGAAAGTATTCCTTAGTATATGATGTTCATTTTTTGCCATGAACCAGTTAAGACAGAATTCCTTTACTTAATAAACTGCCCCTAAGTACCATTTGCCCTTCCTTAAAGGGAGTAATTTGAGCCAAAGGAAACTGATAAGAACCAGAGAATGCAGAAACCAACAATTTAGCAAGTTAACATCTCAGTTGTTACGTGCTATTTGCTTCTGAGGAAAAAAACAACACAACTGTGAACCTCATTTATGAAAAGTATCTTTTCTAACAGGCCAGGTTTTGAACTAAGTGATTTACAGGCGAGCACAGCCTCTGTAAAGGCTCTGTTCACAAACACAACTGCCAGCCTCCCTTCACACATTGCTCATTCATCTCCCATCTCCATACAGGGGTGAGGTCGAATGAAGCAAAACTTTCTAACTGATCTATGTACTGTCTGTTCTATATAAAGCTCGAGATGAATATTTTACAACAGCACAAACCAGGCATGCCATAAATGTAATATTTAGTTTTATTCCAGGATCAAATGTACTTCTAATAGCATGGTACGTATTTTTATCTGGAAGGATCTCCTTGCCATTTGGTAAAAGAGCAGTTAGGGAGTAAAGCTTTAGTCACTGAGAAATTAGTAACTGTTCAATAGTATGTGTCTAATCTTATCAAGTTTTCAAAATATTTAAAAAATCAGAAAATATCCCTTTACAGTCTTCAAGGTATTTGTTCTTGCTCCTTCAGAAATCAGAGCAGAACATCTGTGTAAGGCAGCAAGCTAACTGGACCCCAGCAATGGGAAATTCTTTCATGGGAACCAAGAGGCACATGCTTTTGTAACAGGTAACCTGAAGACAAAATCCCCAGCTCACACAAAATGAGTGCCTGGGGACAGCTTCACTATCAGCTCTTTGGCCTCTTACTGCTGGGTGTGAGGCCTAAAGTACCCAGAGCAGATTTCAGCAGAGTTGAACTCCTTGGAGGCTTCAGTGCTCAAGTCGGGATCAGTAGAGGTGTTTGGATAAACGGGAGGGAGGGAGGGAGGGAGACTGGGGGCAGTGGCTGGAAAGGACGTGGAAGAGGCTGCAGATCACAAGGGACCTGCAGGCCATGATTAGGGCGATTAGGGCTTGGGCTTTTGTTCCACGTGTGAGCAGAAGCCATTGAAGGGTGTTGAGCAGAGGACTGACTGGGCCTGATTTACATTTGAAAAGAATTGTTCTGGTGGCTGTTTTGAGATCAGACTGGGTGGAGTCAGGCAAACCAGCAAGGGTCCTACAGTGAGAAACAAGAGTGGCTCAGACATGCCAGGCAGTGGAGGAGGCAGAGAGGTGAGCAGAGCTGGTACATAATCAGAGCGGAGCATGCCAGGTGCAAGAGGAAGACAACAGCTCTAACCTCTTTTTGTAAATAAAAATAAAGTCCAGGTAGTTGGAGGAATTAGGACAAACCATTCAAATGAGAAACAGGTGAGAGCTACAAACAATTTGCAAAACAAGAGATATATGAAAATGACCCTATCAAAAGATTTCAATCACTAGTAATTACAGAAATTAAGACAAAAATAGGATGTCCCCACCCCACTCTGATTAGAGAAAAAATTTTTTGAAGATAATTGTAGTGGGTTGAATTGTGTCCCCCAAAACTCCCATCCATCAGCAACTTCAGAATGTGACCTTATTTGTAAAAAGTGTCTTTGCATATATAATTAGTTAATATGAGGTCATACTGGATTAAAGTGGCCCTAAATCCAATGACTGATGTCCTCATAAGAGGACAGAGCACACAAATATACACAGGGTTAGAAGGCCGTGTCATGACAAAGGCGAGATGAGACTTGATGCAGCTAGAAGTCAAGGAACACCAAAGATTGCCAGGAGCCAACAGAAGCTAAGAAGAAGCAAAGAAGAATCCTCCCCTAGAGTCTGATTTCAGACTTCCAGTCTCCATTACTGTGAGAGAATAGATTTGTAGCTTTTAGCCACTGAGGCTGTAGTTATCAGTTACAGCAGCCCTGGGAAACTAATATAGTAACATACGGTGTTACCAAGAATGTGGGAAGCAGTCACTCACAGACTCGCATACCTGGCTGGCAGAAGCAGAATTTAGCATACAGTCTTTTAAAAAGATGATTTTAAAAGGCTTACCAGGGGTGCCTGGGTGGCTCTGACAGTTAAGCATCCAGCTTTAGCTCAGGTCATGATCTCATGATTCATGAGTTCAAGCCCCACATGGGGCTCTGCGCTGACTGTTCAGAGCCTGGATCCTACTTTAGATTCTGTGTCTCTCCCTCTTTCTGCCCTCCTTGACTTGTACCTGTCTCTCTCTCTCAAAAATGAATAAACATAAAAAAATTTTTTTAATTAAAAAAAAAATTAGAAGGCTTACCAACCACAATTTTAAAATACCGGATTTTTTTAATGCAGCAATTCCAACTTGAGGAATTTATATTAAGGAAATTATTAGAAATGTGTGCAAAGATTTAAAAGGAAGAAGGTTCACCCTAGGGTTAGAATTGGAAAGAATCTAAATGTTAAAAAATCTGAAATTAGGGCCACCTGGGTTGGCTGGGTTGGTTAAGCGTTTGACTTCAGCTCAGGTCATAATCTCGCAGTTCCGTGCGTTCAAGCCCCACATAGGGCTGTTTGCTGACAGTGTGCAGCCTGCTTGGGATTCTCTGTCTCCCCTCTCTATCCTTCCTCTGCTTGTGTGTGGGAACTCTCTCTCTTTCTCTCTCAAAAATAAACACTAAAAAATAATAAGACTAAATTTTAAAAATCTGAAATTAGGTAAATTATAGAATAAACTTACAATGAAATACCATGTAGCTATTAAAATTTATTTTGATTGGAAGGTAGTGTGGTAGCTTCTTACAAAATTAAACATACTCCTGCCATATAATATAGAAATCACACTCTTTAAAATTCAGCTAAGTGAGTTGAAAACTTAACATTCACATAAAAACCTGCACATGGGGGTGGCTGGGTGGCTCAGTCAGTTACACGTGTGACTTCAGCTCAGATCATGATCTCATGGCTCTTGAGTTCGAGCTCCGTGTGGGGCCTCTGAGCTGATAGCTTGGAAACTAGAGCCTACTTCGGAATCTGTGTCTCCCTCTCTCTTTCTGCCCCTCCCCTGCTCAAGCTCTGTCTCTCTCTCTCTCTCAGAAATAAACACAAAACAAACCTGCATACATATGTTTTAACAGCTTTATTCATTATTGCCAACACCTGGAAGCCACGAAGATGTCCTTCAATAGGTGAATGGGTAAATAAACTGTGGTATATCCATACGCTGGAATATTATCCAGCGATAAAAAGAAATGAAGTGTAAGGCCATAGACAGGCAGGGAGGAAACTTAAATGTGTATTACTAAGTGAAAGAGGCCAGTATGGAAAAGGCTGCATGCTGTAGGATTCCAACTATATGACATTCTGGAAAAGGCAAAACTATAGAGACAGTAATAACTATAGAGACAGTTGTCAGGGTTCATGGGGATGTGGGAAAGGATTCACAGCTAGAGCGCAGGACATTTGAGAGTGGTCAACTATTCTGTTTGGTACTGTAACAGCCAACACATGTCTTTATACATGTGTCCAAACCCACAGAATGTATAGCTCTAAGAGGGAACCCTAATATAAACTACGGACTCTGGGTGACAATGTGTCACAGTAGGTTTGTCTGTTGTAGCTAATGTACTGCCAGGTACAGATGCTGATAGTTGGGGAGGTTGTGAGTGTAGGAAGACCATGGGTCTCTGGACCAGATCTACAGACCAGGGTCCATGGAAACTCCCTGTACTTTCTGCTCAACTTTGTTGTGAACCTAAAATTGCCCTAAAAAATAAAGTCTGATAATTTTAAATGAATTCAAAAGAAAAAAAAACAATCTCCAAAAAAATTTTAATGTCAAGAATATTCAAGATATGTGATGTACTATTAACAGGTAAAAGCAGAGAATGAAAAGGGACCTACAATATGATCCTAATTTTGTTTTTAAAAAGTAGATAGTAACATGCAGGATACTCATGCATTATTAGATATACAACAAAAACACTAAAATATTAATAATGGTTATCTCTGAGTGGGGGGAGTATACACAATTTTTATGTTTCTCTTGTGATTTCTTACATTCTCCAATATTTCTACAATAAACATGGATTCTTTCGTAATCAGGAACGAAGAGTTAAAGTCATTTAAAAGTATAAATGCAGGGGTCTGAAAAAACGAAAAACATTAATGTGAGAGGGAAAAAAACCAAACTGCTTTAGTGAAGCTCTCAATGCCACCTGCGTTGTTATTTTAACTTAACCATCACATTCCTCTTCATGGCCTTTGCGACTTTCTCCATTCCTCCCAATCTCCCCACAGGTTCCTCCTACCTCCTTTTCTTTTACTAAGCAACTTGCATACCTATTCAGGGATGCTGAAATTCATCTCTCATGAACCACCTCTAATTCCCTTGCTTGTGTACTAAAGTTTCCTGGAGTTTTCACCCATCACATCACCCATTTGTTCCTCTTGTCATTTACTGATCTTTAAAAAAAAAAAAAAAAAGCAACAGCCCTGGAACAAAAGCTCTTGAAAACTAAAACTATGGGAGAACAGGGGGGGAAATGGCAATTTGGAAGATAAAACTGAGAAATTATCTCATATAGCAGGAAAAAATAAAAGATAAGGAGATGGGAAATAGAACATTAAAAAGAAAAGGAAACTAGAAGATCGGTCCAAGGGGCCCAATAAGAAAGAAAGAAAATACCACTAAACAATTTCCCCAAATCTAGAACGCATTGTCTTGTTCCAAGTGCCCATCACAATGAATCAAAAAAAAAAAAAAAAAAAAAGGCAGATGTCATAGCATATCAGAACATCTGGGATAAAGAGAGTTTCCCACACTTTTCCAAAGAGAAGGGAGGAACAAGAACATATAAAGGACAGGAGACCAAAATGCCACTGGATTCCTTGATAATACTAGACACCAGGATAGTTAAGTGATGCTTGCAGAATTAGGAGGAATTAATGTCCCACCTAGAATACTATACTCAAAGAAACGATCTAGTGGGCAGGTGACATAAAGCTGGTCTCAGACATTCAATTTACTTCACTGTACCACAGCAGCCACTGTTAACGGCCAACTCAAAAGCCATCCCCTTTCTTCCTTGCTGAAAGCCACCAATTTTATTCATATATGAAGTGGTCATTTTTTTTTTCCCTTTTACTTTAGAGAGAGGGAGTGTGATGTGATGACAAGAAAGGGGCAGAGAGAGAGAGAGAGAGAGAGAGAGAATCTTAAGCAGCCTCCACGCTGAGTGCCGAGCCTGACATGGAGCTTGATCCCATGATATTGGGATCATGACCTGAGTCGAAATCCAGAGCTGGATGCTCAACCAACTGAGCCACCCAGGTGCCCCAAGTGGTCATCTGTCATCTGTTCTGCAGGTAAGCATGAGCCCCAGGAGGGCGAATCCTTATTAGAATCCAGTTACGGTAATTCTATTCCCTTCGCCATGGCCTAAGATGTGAAATATCTAGGTAGGAGGCTTTGAAGAAAGGACTCAGATGAGGCTCACCAGAGAAAATGGCTCATTTTTCACCTCCAGATAACTGCTGTCTGCATACGACACCTGCAGCAAGACACCCACACCGCAACTAGCCCACAGGGCCAAATCCTCACACCACGGCTCAAAGAGTTGAAAGTCTGAAAGGATCTGAGTTTGAAAACATCACTAAGCCTACTCTGTACCATCCTAATTCCAGACTTACCTGAAATAAGAAATGTCCTTCAGGGGCACCTGGGTGGCTCAGTCAGATGGGCGTCTGACTTCGGCTAAGGTCATGATATTATGGTCATGGGTTTGAGCCTCGTGTCGGGGTCTGTGCTGAGAGCTCAGAGCCTGGAGCCTGTCTTCGGATTCTGTATCTCCCTCTCTCTGACCCTCCTCTGCTTGCACTGTCTCTCTCTGTCTCTCAAAAATAAATTTAAAAACATTTTTTTAAAAAAAGAAATGACCTTTCTGTTTAAGTCACTTTTAGTTGGCCATCACCTGTAGCTACAAGTATCATCAACGGATATACACCCTTCCTCAGAAATTTAATGGAGGAGGCCTCCTTGGAGCCAAGAAATGGAAGAGGTGAAGGAACTGCCAAGGATGACTATAAAAGGACAAGCAAGGGACATGGCTGGGCAAAGGCCTGCAGAATGGAACTCGGGTACATGGCTCCAAGAAGGCCTCCAGGAAGAAGCAACACCAGCTTTGCGATGACATGAAAAATCACATTAAGAAGCATTCTGTAATCTAGTCCTGGAACTGATATTATACTATACGTTAACTAACTTGAATTTAAATAAAATCTTGAAGAAAATAAATAAAATTTAATTTTCTTAATGCTTATTTTTGAGAGAGACAGAGTGTGAGCGGGGAGAGGCAGAGAGAAAGGGAGACAGAATCTAAAGCAGGCTCCCAACTCCAAGCTGTCAGCATAGAGCCCAACGTGGGGCCTGAACCCACAAACCTTGAGATCATGACCTAAGCCAAAGTTGGACACTTAACTGACTGAGCCACCCAGATGTCCTGAAAAAATTAAAAATGAAAAAAAAATAAAGAAACAAGCATTCTGTACTTTTCTCAGTTTAAGAAGGCATTAATAATAATAGATGTAGAGAAAATTAAGCAAATTAAAAGGCAATTTTTAAATCCAAGAGAAATGAAAATTTGCACAAGAAAGAAAGAATAATCATAGTATACTATTTGGCCCAGCAGTGAAGAATATTTATATACTTAGAATATATGAACTCATCCTTTGGGGAGGAAGGGAAGTAGAAAGGAGGGAAAGCAGAGTGAAGGGCTACTTCCCCATCTTTTTTTTTTTTTTTAATATTTTTATTTATTTCTAGGAGAGAGAGAGACAGCGTGAGCAGGGGAGGGTCAGAGAGAGAGGGAGACACAGACTCTGAAATAGGCTCCAGGTTCCGAGCTGGCAGTCAGCACAGAGCCCGACGCAGGGCTCAAACCCACAAACCGCAAGATCACGACCCAAGCGAAAGTCGGACGCCCAACCGACTAAGCCACCCAGGCGCCCCAACTTCCCCATCTTTCAAACAGTCAATGGATAATATCTACGGTAGAGAAATCAAGACAATTCAGAATAAGCATATTATTTAGCAATACGGAAGCAAATTCCAAAGAAAAAGTTAACAGTGTTTTTTGAAGTTTATTATTTATAATCTGGACACCCACTGTGGGGCTTGAACTCATGATTCCAAGATCAAGACTTGCATGTTCTTCCTATGGAGCCAGCCAGGCACCCTGAGAAAGTTAAAAGTTGAAGGTATTTAAATCCTGTAATACTATCTTAGTAAACTATATGAATACATTACTGTGATGTAATAAAGAATTTGTCTGGTCTTTGAGGTTTCCTCTTGGTACAGATCTTCTAAAATACTTGGAATTTCCTGAGTCATATGAGTCTTGGTTATGCTAATGAAGGGACTCATGGTGGTCCCCTCCAGAGTTTCAGGACAGAGGCTGGCCACCAGGAGTACTGACCTTGTGATGAGAAGGTTGGGAATTTCAGCAACCCCATCTCCAGGAGAGAGATGCTAGAGACTGAGTTCAATCATATGGCCAATGACTTGACCAATCTCACCTGTGTGATGAGGCCCTGATAAAGACTTTGGACACTGAACCTCAGTGGAGCTGGTGAACCCATGAATGTGCCACGATGGTCACACACCCTGACACAACAAGGAGAGGGCACAGAAGCTCTGTGTTCCTTCCCAGACCTCGCCCTATAGGTCTCTTCATTCGGCGGTCCTCCTGATTTGCATCTTTTATAATAAAACTTGAATCATAAGTACAGTGTTTTCCTGAGTTCTGTGTGTTGCTCTAGCAAGCTGTGAAACTCTAGGGAACCACGGGATCCCTCAAATTTAGAGCCAGTTGATCAGGAGTGCAGGTGGCCTGGGCCCTCCAAGGTGCAGCTGGCATCTAACGAAAGGACCAGTCGTGTTGAGAAACAGATACTGTAACTTGTGGGGGCTGCACCAATTCTGGGGGGTCAGTGCCAGAACGGCATTGCAGTACAACCCACCGGATTTGGTACAGAATAATTACTTGGCTAAATTAATTTTTTAAAGGAGAAAGGAGTAAATCTCATCATCTTAATCATCAAAGGATTCTGCAGCACGTGTCTGAAGGCCCACCCCAAGGATGGTGGCACTATGGATGGCCAGAGAGGACTTAGCACAGAGCACATCCCTGGGATGCAGGCATGGTGGGGGGCCGGGGGGCCAGGGAGGGGGCTTACTTCTGCTGGAGGATGAAGAAGCGAGATTTTTTGGGATTTTTCTACTAAAATGTTATCCCAGAATACAAAGATTTCCATCAGGAAAGACTGTCAACTTGGACATTTTTTAAAAATGTTTATTTATTTATTTTCCTTTTATAGTTTATGGTCAAGTTGTTTCCATATAACACCCAGTGATCATCCCAACAAGTGCCCTCCTCCATGCCTGTCACTCCCCTTCCCCTCTCCCTCACCCCCATCAGCCTTCAGTTTGTTCTCAGCATTCAAGAGTCTCTCATGGTTTGCCTCCCTCCCTCTCCCCAACTATTTTTCCCCTTCTCCTCCCCCATGGTCCTCTGTTAAGTTTCTTCTAATCCACCTATACGTGCAAATATATGGTATTTGTCCTTCTCTGCCTGACTTATTTCGCTCAGCATAACACCCTCAAGGTCCATCCATGTTGCTACACGTGGCCAGATTTCATGCTTTCTCATTGCCATGTAGTATTCCATGGTATAGATAAACCACATCTTCTTGATTCATTCGTCCGTTGATGGACACTTAGGCTCTTTCCATGTTTTGGCTATTGTTGAGAGTGCTGCTATGAACATTGGGGTATATGTGCCCCTATGCATCAGTACTCCTGTATCCCTTAGGTAAATTCCTAGCAGTGCTATTGCTGGGTCATAGGGGAGTTCTATTAATTTTTTGAGGAACCTCCACACTGTTTTCCAGAGGGGCTGCACCAGTTTACATTCCCACCCACAGTGTAGGAGGGTGCCCGTTTATCCACATCCTTGCCAGCAACTATTCAACTTGGACATTTAATTCCACACTCTTCAAAACAAGTATCTAATAGCTTCCTTATGGTTGGAGCTGGTCAAAGGTAAAGTGAGCAAAGTAGAGTTTATCCTTTGCATCCTCGGTTCTTAAGTTTTCCTCTCTCAACCCTGGAGGCACCTCAGCACCTGAGCCAAACCCACTGAGCTGGCCCTCTCCAGGCCCCTCTTTCCTCTAGTCCAGACTCTCCCTTCCTCTGACATCCTGCTCACTTCTAAACCTCAGAGATCTGGTTTCAGCTCTCTGGTACCAGAAAAGTGATTCATTAATTCACAAACAAAAACAAGCGATTGCTTTATGGAGGTGTTAAATATTTAAAAGAAAATATCAGAATCTTTTTTAAATGATATTTCAACATGATAATCCAGAGAGAAGGAGATTCTGATGCTTTTAAACCAATTACTTAACAAAATACTTAGGAGTCAAAAACAAAGTTGTCCTTCCCAGTGCCTAGGTCCTCAACAGCTCTGGGAACAAGACTGTCCTCCTACCACGTGAAGACCCACTACTGCTCTCAGGATATGCACCTTACACCCTGGTACCTTCCACTCGCACACCATGCTTACACAAAGTTCTGAGGGGAGCTGAGCACCCCTTCCCAGCAAATGCAAGGTCTCTGTACAATGGTGCCAAACTGGAGTCTGTAGATTAGAACTCAGGCCCCAAAGGCGTGGGGTGGCAAAACCCTTCTAGGGTCAGCTCCGGACTTCGCCTGGGACCCATGTATGGGTTAAGCTGCAGCAGGCAGAAGTGGGAAACTAACTTAGCTCTTTAAGTCACCATTTAGCTCAGTCGAAGCAGTTTTTAGAATGATCCAGATTCATGTTCCACAAAGGGCTGGGATATCTGCACTGAAATCAGAAAACACTCTAAAAAGCAACGTGATATTTGTTTATTTGTACTACTAAAAACCACTGGAGAAAACGCCTTATCTGGAAAAACAATGTGAACTGTTACTCACCTCCCCAAATCTAAATTGATATCTAACGCCTACTTTCCTTGCAAAACAATAGCAGGCAGTGGAGAGAGCCTTTTATACTAAGAAATGTTGTAATGTCACAGAAACCCAAGGAGAAATAAATACAGTACTTATGTTCTGCATACACTTACTTTCTCCTTTAACACATCAAAGACTGCTTATATTTTTAAGTAGAAAAGTGGAAAGAGTGACTTTAATACGTTCACCCCACCCAACTTCATTGCTACAATACCTGAATCTTTGCCAAAGTGTTTGGCCTATCGCTAGGAAGTCCTAAACACAGCCCTGTTTTTGAACACTTTCACCCTCCTTTAACCTTTCCACTTTTAAAATATTTTCTGATATTATGTTTGCTTTTATATTTTAACACAGTTTATATGAAGGAAAATATTTTAATTAAATCAAACAGAGATTATGCTAATTACCTGCATGTAGGTGATTCTGTAATATTTTATTAAACTTAAAAATACGTGTATTGTGCTCCAGCTCTAACAAACCATGCTAATAAGACTAGTGACAAAAAATGGACCTAGTATGAGTCCATGAGTATGCATAATGAGTATGCATAACAAATAACATCAACCCTGGTCCAAGAGCTCCCAAGATAAGAAAGTTATCACCTCCTCTTCCGAAAAGAACATCTCATAGGTACAGAGAGGCCCCAACTCAAACACAAACACAGATCAATTATATGTAATGGGACAAGGTGAAAAGAGTAAGAGATGCCAGAGGTGGTACCAGATGGGCCATGACCCCTGAAAGACAGGCAAAGGAGAGCACACACATATGCATAGTAACAGAGACATGGGAGATCAAAGGGTGTTTGGTAAAACTGGTCACTAGCTGGCACATTCAGCTCCAGAGAGTCGTGCTGCTTTCAGATCATGGGAGGCAATAAGTCATGCCATGATGATTTTTGAGAGAACAGAGGCAAATAAAGAGTGTGGTGATGGTGAAGTTACATACACCCGCAGTGGAGTCTCTTCTGAAAGCTACCTGGCTGCCACCAAGGCAGCCGCTGCTGAGGGCCACTGAAAGAGGGTCCAGATGCTTCGGGCTCAGAGTGGGCATGAAGCACACCAGATCTTGACCTCAAACTTGCTAGTTGATTAAGTTCTTTCCAGCTTCTCTCCTAAGTCAGGTAAAAGATCCCAAGGGCAAAGCATCTCCTGATGGGAACCTCGCCCCTCCCCCACCCCCAAGCAAT